TAATTGAGGATATCTGGTTGGCATTGATAAATTGGGCCTAAGGGTCTGTTCCTGTGCTGTACATCTAAGTCTATAAATAGGTGCAGGAGTTAGGCCATCTGGCCCCTCAGGCCCACTCTGCTATTCAATAGGATCATGGCTGATCTTTTCGTGGACACAGCACCGCTTACCTGCCAGCTCACCATAACCCTTAATTCCTTTATTGTTCAAAAATATATCTATTTTTTGCCTTAAAAACATTCATCAAGGCAGCCTCAACTGCTTCACTGGACAGGGAATTCCACAGATAAGACAACAACAATTGGGAAGGCAAGTGAGGAGGATAATACCAGGAGCTATAGAGGGATATAGACAAGTTAAGTGGGTAGGCAAAAGAACTGACAGAATACAATATGGGAAAATGTAAGGTTATGCACTTTGGCAGTAAGAATAGAAGAGCTGATTATTATTTAAATGGGGAAAGACTGCAGAAAACTGAAGCACTCAAGGTTCCTTGTGCATAAATCATGTTCAAAGGATAATAGAGAAAGTAAAGGAATGTTGCCCTTCATTTCAAAAGGAATGGGGTATAAAAATGGGGTGGTTGCTAAAAGTCAGACCACAGCTGGAATAGTGTGAACAGTTTCAAACCACTTATCTAAGTAAAGATATACTGGCATTGGAGGCCATCCAAAGGAAGTTCATTGGTTTGATCTTGGGTATGCAGGGATTTTCTTAGGAAGAGAAGTTCAGTAGGTAGAGTATGTAGGCTAGGATGTGGGAAAGGTTCCAGTAAATTGGAAAAATTATAGTATAACACATTTACTCAAAAGGGAGAGAGGCAGACCAGTTAATTTAACATGTGTCAATGGTAAATTGTTAGAGTCTATTATTAAGGAATTTGAAAGGTTGAGGGAGCCAAGGCTTTTTCATTGGAGCGAAGAAGGATGAGAGGTGACTTGATAGAGGTGTATAAGATGATGAGAGGCATAGGTAGAGTGGATAGTCAGAGACTTTTTCCCCGGGACAGAAATGACTATTACGAAGGGGCATAATTTTAAGGTGATTGGAGGAGGGTATAGGGGAGATGTCAGAGGTAGGTTCTTCACGCAGAGAGTGGTGGGCGTGTGGAACGCGCTGCCGGCAATGGTAGTGGAGTCAGATACTTTAGAGGCTTTTAAGCGACTCTTGGATAGGCACATGGAGGATAGTAAAATGTAGGGTATGCAGGGTAGATAGATCTTAGTAGGACAATAGGTCGGCACAACATCGTGGGCTGAAGGGCCTGTACTGTGCTGTACTGTTCTATGTTCTATGTAATAACAGTATATTTGGAAAATTAAAATACAATCCATGAGAGGCAGGTTTTATGAGGAGTAAATTGTGTTTGACTAATCTGCTACAATTATTTGAAGATGTGACAAGCTGTTTGGATAATGGGGATCAGGTAGACGTAGACATCTGGACTTCGAGAAGGCATTTGATAAGGTGACACACAAAAGGCTAATACACAAGGTAAGATCACGTGGGGTAAGGGGTAATTTATCATCTCAGATAGAGGATTAGCCAAACAGCAGAAAACAGAGATTCAGATTAAAAGGGTCCTTTTCAGGTTGGGAAGAGGCAACTAGTGGGTACCCACACGGTTCAGTCCTTGGTATCCAATGTTTTACAATTGATATCAATGATTTAGATATGGGAATGGAAATCACTTCAGCCAAATTTGCAGATACCACTAAAATAGGTGGGAAATTAAGTTGCATTGAAGGAATACAAAACTTATAAATAAACATGGATAGGTTAGATGAATGGACCAAAATTTGGCAGATGAGGTTTAATGCAGATAAGTGTGAGGTCAGCCATTTTTGTCAAAGGAATAGAAAGACAATTTGCTCTCAAAATGGAGAGAAACTTCAGAGAGCTTCAGTGCAGAGGGATCTGGGTGTCCTTGTGCATGAATCACAGAAAACTAGTCTATGAGCAATAATGAACCTCAATGACTGCCACCCAGTGGCTCTGACCCCCATAATTGTAAAGACCTTCGAGAGGTTACTCATGGCTCACATCAACTCCAGCCTGGCAAACTGCCTTGATCCTTTGCAATCTGCCTATCAGTACAACAGGTCCATGGCAAACACATCTCCCTAGCCCTACACTCACCCCTGGAACAACTGGATAACAAAGATACCTACATCAGGCTTCTACTCATTGACTACAGCCCTGCCTTCAACACTATAATTACAAACAAACACATCTCTAAACTCTGAGAACACCCCCCCGCCCCAACCCCGTAACTGGATCCTTGACTTTCTGACCCATAGACAGCAATCGGTAAGAATAGGTGACAACACCTCCTCCACCATAATCCTCAACACCGGTGCCGCCACAAGGCCGCATATTCTGCCCCTTACTTTACTCCTTATGTGCTCACGACTGTGTGGCCAAATTCTGCCCAACTCTACTTAGAAGCTTGCTGATTACATCACAGTTGTACGTCAGTTCTCAAACAATGACGAGACAGAATACAGGAAAGAGATTGACTGTTTAGCGGCATGGTGTAAAGACAACAATCTCTCCATCAACATCAACAAAACGAAGGAGCTGGTCATTGACTTCAAGAAGCGAAGAGGAGGACACGCCCCTGTCTGCATCAATGGTGTTGAAGTGAAAATGGTCGAGAACATCAAATTCCTGGGAGTGATGATCACCAACTATCTGTCCTGGACCACCCATGTCAACGCGATGGTCAAAAAAGCACATCAATGGCTCTACTTCCTCCAGGAAGCTAAGGAAATTCAGCAAGTCCCTAAACACACATTCCAATTTTTATCAATACACCATAAATCTAGATGCATTACAGCATGGTATGGCAACTGCTTGTCCCGAGGCTACAAGAAACTACAGAGAGTTATGAACATAGCCCAGTCCATCACGCAAATCAGCCTACTATCCATTGACTCCACGTATACTTCCGGCTGCCTCAGGAAAGCAGCCAACATGATCAAAGACTCTTCCAACCCCAGTTATACTCTCTCCCACTCTCTTCCATCAAGTAGAAGATATAAATGTTTGAATACACATATGAACAGATTCAAGAACAGCTTCTTCCCCGCTGTTATCAGACTTTTGAATGAACCTCGCAAATATTAATTTTGATCTCTCTCTTTTTGCGCCTTTTTCTGCAGCTCTAACATTGTATTCTGCATTCTGTTCTGCTACCCTGATGTACTTTGTATGGTACAATCTGCCTATATGGCACACAAAACAACACTTTTCACCATATCTCAGTACATGTGACAATAAGTCAATCACAAACTCAAGACAAATGGATTTTTTGCATTTATTACTAGAGGAATGGAATATAAAAATATGGAAGAGTTGATTCGACTTTACAAGGCAATAGTGAGACCGCACCTGGAGTACTGCATTTTTGCTCCACTTACTTGAGGAGGGATGTAATTGCATTGGAAGCAGTTCAGAGGAGGTTCACTAGATTGATTCTAAAGATGTGCAGTTTGTCTTATGAAGAGAGATTGAGTAGTTCAGGCCTATTCTCTCTGAGCTTTACAAGTATGAAAAAAGATCTGATTGAAGTACATATGATGCTAAAGGGGATTGAAAAAGTAGACATAGAAAGGATGCTTCTTCAAGTGGGGTAATCTAGAAAAAGAGGTTATAGATCTGTAAGGAGTGGCAGATCTCAAATAGAGATGAAGAGAAATTACTACTCTCAAAGGGTCACTATCCCAGACTGTGGTGGGTGCTGGGCCATGGAGTATATTTAATGAGGAGATGGATAGGTTTTTAGTTAGTTATGGGTTGGAGGTTTGTGGAGAGCGGCAGGAAAGTGGAGTTGAGGCCGAGACAGGATCAGACATGATTGATTCAAATGGCAGAGCAGACTCAGGGCTGAATTGCCTCCTCCTATTCCTAGTTTATGTTCTTATGTTCTCATTGAGTAGAGTCTGGAAGAATGACAGACAACCTTACTGAAACATATAAGTTTCTTAGGGCACTTAACAGGGTAGATGAGGAGAGATTGTTTTCCCCTTGTGGAAAAATTGAGGATGAAAGGGAATAATCTCAGGGTAAGGGGTCATTATTTAATATGGAGAATGTTCTGTTTTTCTCTCAGAGAGTAGTGCATCAATGGAATTCTTTACCACAGAGGACTGTAAAATCTGGGTCTGGGTCCTTCAGTATATTCAAGGCTAAGATAGACAGATCTTTAATTTGTGTAGGAATCAAGGGGTATGCGGAAACGGCAGGAAACTGGAGTTGAGGGTTATCGGATCGACCATGATCCCATTGAATAGCAGAGCAGCCTCTGGGCCGAATGGTTTACCTCGGCTCCTGCCTCTTATGGGTCTTGTCGTTATTCCCAGGGACACCGCTGAGATTTCTCACTGCCGCAGGTTTTTCCCTTTGCCTGCAATGTGCTGGGTGTTCTATGTTTCAAGCGCAGACATTGTCATTATGTCACTTTTAGACATTGTTTCCCACCGTCTGGTATCCGCGCTGCCACTTGACCCTTCTGTAGCTGAAAACCAAAAAGCTCCTTTTACTCTATCGCATTCGGGGCGCATTTCTCTTCTAAACTTGTTTGATCTGGTGCTAACGTTTTGGGAGCGTTCCCCTCGCAATTTTTGTCATTTGCCATGATTAATTCTGTAGGTTGATAGTAAATGGCCGTACAGTCTGTACGGAAATGCAAAAGGCATGTAGTAAAGCAACATACATGTACATCAGGTTCCCGTGTCTCCGAAGTGTAATTTTGTGTGACATTTAATTAAACTCCCTTCTGCGTCGTAAAGAAGTAGTTCCTGCTAATCTTATTAACTTTTTTAAAGTGAGGTTTGAGGCGTGCTGCTGATCAGCGGGGAGATTGCCTAATAAACAAGAGTGCAGTGTGACATTTACGCGGCGATGGGGACACCCACTGAGCGCTGATTTGGCACAGGAGCCGCGAGGCTATATATAAATGGATGGTTGCTCCCACCTCGGCAGTGAGTTGCGAGGACTCCTGCATAGTGCCATGATGAACTGTCGCTCCAGCAAGGCAACGGTACGACCAGCCAGCAAGAGCACCGAAATGAAGGGCAGCTCACAAGTGCATCTCTTTCTGCTCTGGTGTTGCCTGTCTGCTTTGCCTTTAAGTTCAGGTTCGTAGGATTTTGACGAAAAAGACCAGCTTGTGTGTTTTTTTTCTTGTATTTATCCAAATAAAGGTCTTCCGATACAAAGTTTACAAATTGCAGCAATAAACGCCATATCACGGTTGTAGGTCGATTTAAGTTGTTTCTGAATAAGCTGTTGCATTTTAAAAATCTGGGCTTTTGTTTTACTTTGTGTCTTCATGCAACTTTGTCACTTTTTTTTAAACCAGCTTCGCTGTTTAGTGGAACCTATTTAATATCATTACAGCGATATTTGCTTTGGATCAATAATTGTGCTGTTTTTAAACACCGAAGGAACTGCAGATGCTGTAAATCAGGAACAAAAACAGAAGTTGCTGGAAAAGCTCAGCAGTTCTGGCAGCATCTGTGAAGGAAAAAACAGAGTTAATGTTTCGGGTCTGGTGACCCTTCCTCAGAATTGTGATGTTTTTGTGGTTTAAAGTGAGATGTAATTTCTAGTTTGGAAAACTGCATCTTCATAGTACTTGAGCAGGTTCAATGAGCCGAATGTCCTCTTTCTCATTCCGAGTCCATGTGCAGAACAGGACGCAATGCTTCAGATCTTTGAGATTTAAAGGCTAGATAATTGCGTTTTTTTTATTTAGGGAATCTGATTTGCAAAATTGGTTTAATTTGATGATTCGTTATGAAGCGATAAAACGCATTCAGAAAAGATGTTTGTTTTTCGTATTAGCCTTGTGTCAGGGTGCAGACTGTGTGTCACTAATTCAAACTACACTAAAGGTAAAACAAACTGCATCTACTTTGTAGGATTGTTCGCTGCCATTAATCGAACTGATCTGTCAAATCCCAAAGGTTTATCAGAAACTGGCGAATACTCTACGAGCGCAACAAAGTACGTTCATTTTAAATTAGTTCTGTTGCACGGATCCTGAACAGATCAAAAATGAACTTCTACAAGCCGGACAATAATAGTTGTGGAGGGGGGAATATGAAAATTGATCAGACCTGAAGACCTTCAAATTGAGCGGTAACGGGCAGGGTACCTTTAAACATGAGTCTGAAATTATATTTTTTTGCTCTGCTTGGGAAATATCAAAATGAGTTGAGAGCGTTGAAAACAATGTCCACAAACCATTGTTCAGAGCAAGGTCTTAAACATTAATACCTATCTGCCATGACATCTTCCTTATAAGATTTTCAATATTTTGCACCCTTGCAAGAGTTTTGTTTTAAATAGGTGAGCTGTTTGGGTTTATTTTAACTTCACCAACAGTGACTCGATTAACGTGATTTTGGCTGATGTTTTTTAAAAAAAATTTTGTGGGATGTGGGTGTCATTGGCTGGCCAGCATTTTTTTCCCGTCCCTAGTTGCCCTTGAAAAGGTGGTGGTGAGCTGCCTTCTTGAACTGCTGCAGTCCACCTGTGGTCACTAACTTACCACAATTAACTTCATTAAATAATAAAAATCACGTGAATAGAAAGTAATCTTTCCACTTTACACTCACACTGACCTTTACACTCTCATTTCCCTCCTTCTGATATCAAGAAATGGCTGGAGGCACCGGATACTGCAAAGGCTATGGGCTCTGCAAAATTCCAGTGATAGGATGGGTGATATGTGCTCTGGAAATTCCTACCGTCCTAGCCAAGCTGTTCCAGTACAGTTGCAACGCTGGCATCTACCCGACAATGTGGAAACTTTCCTAGGTATGTCTTGTACACAGAAAGCAGGACAAATCCAACCTGGCCAATTATCACCCCAAGTGTATACTCTTGATCATGAGGAAATTAATGGAGAATGTCATCAACAGTGCTATCAAGCAGCACCTGCTCAGCAATAACCTGCTCGGGGACGCCCAGTTTAAGTTCCGCCAGCACCATTTAGCTCATTACAGCCTTGGTCTAAGCATGGACAAAACTGCTCAATTCCAGAGTTGAGGGGAGACTGACAACAGTGCTACATTTGACCAAATAGGGCATCAACGAGCGAGAGCTAAACTGAAATCAAGGGAATCAAGCGGAAAACTCCCCACTAGTTGAAGTCATACCTGACACGTAGGAAGATGGTTATAGTAATTTGGAGGCTGGTAATTTCAGATCCAGGATATCACTGCAGAAATTGCTCAGGGTTGTGTCTTCAGTGCAACCATCTTCAGCTGCTCCATCCATGACCTTCCCTCCACTTTAAGGTCAGAAATGAGGATGTTCGCTGATATTTGAACAACATTCAGCAGCCTTTGCAGCTCCTCACATGCTGAAACAGTTCACTTCCAAATGCAGCAGAAATTGGGCAACATCCAGGTTTGGGCTGAGAAAAGGCAAGTAACATTCACATGACACTAGTGCCAGACATGGACCACCTCCAACAACAGACAACCGAACCATCACTGAATTTTCCACAATCAACACCCTGAGGGTTAACTGACCAGAAACTGAACTGCACCAGCATATAGAAACAATAGGTACAAGAGCAAGTCAGAGGCTAGGAATCTTGCAGTGAGTGACTTACCTCTTGACTTTCCAAAGTCTGTTCACCAACTACAAGGCACAAGTCACCAATGAAACGGAATACTCTCCACTTGCCGAGATGAATGCAGCTCCAGCAACACTCAAACTTATTACCATTCAGGATAAGCAGCCAGTGAGATTGGCACCACATCCATAAATATTCACTCTTGTCCACCACCAATGCTCAGTGGCAGCAGTGCATACCATCTACAAGATACACTACAGAAATTCACTAGGCTCATTAGCCAGCACCTTTCAAAGCCACTAACATTCAGAAAATCAAGGGCAGCAAATACATGGGAACATTGCTAACTGCAAGTTTCCCTCCCGGCCAATAACCACATAGAATTGGAAATATATTATTCCTTATGTCCTGCAGAATCAAGTTCCTAGAATTTGCTCTCTAGAGGCTTTGTGGAACTACTTAGGCATAGGTAATAAATGCTGGACCAGCCAGCAAAGCCCACCTCCCATGAGTGAACATTTTAAGAAAAAAATCAAATGACAAAACTATACCCCTGCTAATCGAACTATCAAAATATACAGCTCTTTAGAAAAATAAAGATTGGTCATTGGGATCAAAACATCATTTCCAGAATTTCTAATGTTGCAGAACCTTGCAATTTGCAAACAGGCTACTATATTCCCTTATACAGTAAAGATGCAAGAACAGCATTTTTGATTGTTTTGGAACGTCCCAAGGATAAGAAAGTTGTTATTGAAGGATTTTCTTTCTATGAACAAGTGACCAGAGATTTGGGGACAGATAATGAATGGACTTCAAATCTTCATCCCCTCATCCTCCACCTTGTGCAAGTTTAGGAGCTTCTAGGAAAGGAAATACTTAGGGAATGGAGGGGGTGTGTGGGAGGGTAGGTCCCAGTCAGACGATCATAATAATATTATTTTCCTCCTTATCCTGCATTACCTGTCAGAGATAGTACCAACATGTCACAACTTCTACTGAAATTTCAATCAGAACTGTTCTATTTAACAAGCTATGCTATTGCCTTTCTTCCTGAATATCCCAGAAGAAGAAATGGAGGCAGAAGAAGCATTAGATTCTTCTGGCAGCTCTTCACTACAAAAACACAACTGATCACCCTTCTGAAGAAGGGTCTAGGCCCGAAACGTCAGCCTTCCTGTTCCTCTGATGCTGCTTGGCCTGCTGTGTTCATCCAGCTCTACACCTTGTTATCCCGTGATCACAACAAATACCAATTTTGGAGACATTCTACCAATGGACTTTGAGAATCTGCCAGATGAGAACAAGCAAGCTGATACATAAAGCATGAGTGATCAGGTATTACTGCAACATAAATGTAGATAATATGACAGGCCACAGGATCAGGATACTTTGTCCTGCTGAAGAATTAGAGGTTTGCAGATCTCATTAGTGTATTTTTAAAAGAAGGGTGTCTCCGGATCTCGCATAAGTTCTGATATTGACAAAAGTCATGCCTTGCTGGACTTGTGCATTCAATTCGGCTTTTTCTGTAATGCCCAGCAATGCTGGACATGCATTTTATAAAGATGCAATTAGCACTCAGTGCAAGTTTTAATAACAATGGCACATGGGATATTTGATACCTGCTTCTTTGATATTTAATTTAAATATGTCTTCCCATTTAAATGGAAGTTGTAGTGATTGTAATGAGGTCAGGCAGCTGGACATCATAGAATATGAGTTTCCTGATTGGACCAGATTAACAGCCCCAATCAGAGAGCCCTGGCTGACGGATAGAAAGGGATGTGTCAGAGATGCTGCACTTTGAGAGCTGACTCTGAAGAGGCAGTCCTAAAGTCAAGGACTGTACATGTGTAAATAAAGTGTGACTTGGGGATGGGATACTGGCCTCTGTGGAGTTATTTCAGAAGCCAAGGTGGATGGTAAACCTGCATAACAACAGATTGTCACATTTCCTGGTCTCATTCACTACAATATTGCTGTAAAGTCAAAGGGATTTTCAAATACAAATACCTGTTTTTTATGAACTAAATTTCAGCTCTTCTTCTTTGTTGATTTTGTTATACACTTTTTCTCCATCAAATTCCCATGCTTCAATGTTAGTGTTATTATTTGTACTTAATGTGTTCTTTGTCCATTTGCATCCATCACACTTATTTATCCCTGTTGGCAGGTTCTCCACATCACTTCCAAGACTATTTTGAAGAATGGGACAATAACAATGCAGAGGTAATATTAATGACTCAAATAAATGTTTGCTGGATTTTGTGGTTGGCATTGCCGAACTTTAACAACAAATTACATTCCTCAGGAATGAGCAACATAATGTAAATGTAATTGTGATCTTGTTTTCTCCACTTTAGAATTTGGCTTTGTGTTTCAGTCATTGGAGGGCACTTCAGACACAGCCTCAGGTAAAATAAGAAATTTTATTTTCTTCTTTGTAAAGACACAGGGGGAGTAAATGTATTTATCTGTAACCTTTGTGATGTCTTTTTTTATTGGAGATTCTTTAAGTGCAATAACATACGGACATTATTTTTCTTAGTACAAGACAAGTCATGTTGTGCTTTTTTGTCAAAACGGTGGTCAAACAGCCTTCTGAGATGTTGATCACATTTTGTGAATGACCATTTAGCTAAATTATTGAATAGTTAAGTGCTGAATCTCAGCCAATCCTGCTTTCCAAAAACCCCACAGCTCTTTGCTATCTATCGAGAAGGTTTTGTACTTGCAAGCAGTGTAACCGTGATTTGCCTAATGCAATAATGGTTCTTTGACTAGAAGATGTTATCCATGATGGCTAAGGTATGCTGAAGGCATCTTAAAAACAAAGACTACTTGAATGCAATAGTAACTTTGAGTGTGATGGCTTAGTTGTTTAAGATGTGCAATGAGACTCAGGAGAACACAAATTTTCCAAGTAAACCTCATGTCTTTGATGCTGTTTCTCTGGAATTGATCATAGCAGTCACTTTTGATCCTACTTCCATGGAGGTGGGCACTGACATACACGTTCATCCTTTTCTATTGAATTTTTCCGACATCTTTCAAAACCTCTTTTGCTTACCTCATTTTCCTACAGACGCAAAGGATAATACTGACAGACATAACTTATTTTTAAATTGGACCTAGTCTAGTCTGGGATCACAATGCCTTACTAATGTGTTAATAGAAATCAGTTCACTCAGCACAGCCAGGGAAATGAACTGCACCTTTCCTCCTTTGTGAGCTTTGGTCTTCCTTTGCACTCTTGAGTTTTTAGGAGAGTACATGAAAATGGTAATATAAATCATTATAAGGTTTCTGAGGGCCTTGGATAAAATTTTTGTTCTGAATTTCAATATTGCTACTCATTGTAGACTAATTGGCATTTTGGATTGTTTTGTTGACCATTCACATGTAACCTGAGCTTGATGTGAGCTAGACCAATGGGATTAAAGGATAAAGTTTTCACTGGCCGGAGAGATGTTGTTGTGTTATTTCACGCAATCGACACATCTTTAAAAGAGATGATCATGATGTCATTACTTTATTATTGTGTATAACTTGAGGACATAACGATTCCATACTTTATCTTAACTTGGATCATTTGAAGCATGACACACTACTGGAAGAATGTTCCTTTGTTGTAATAAATCCAGAAACGTACATGCCTCAGAAATATAATGTTTTTACACAATAGTTAGTTGTAGTAAATACCTGTTGGATTTGTCAAAACTACAATATCTATGGTCAGTTTCTTATGTTAAAGGAGCTAACATGTTTTCCTTAGCATGCATAAGACTTCACAGTAGTTCAGTGTTACCATCTCCTAATAAAGAGAAAACACTTTGGTTTAGGAGGAAGCTACACCTTTGACAGAAGGATAACAGAAGGAGAAAATGATGTTTAGATGACCTGTTCCACCTAACATTCAATGCGAATTAATATTGCCATTCAATGTTGGGCAATTCCAATGTCTAAGTTCCCAATTCTTTTAGGTAAAAAGGAATGAGCAATGCAGGGGGGAGGGGGCAGTTGCTCAGAACCAAAACAATATTGGAATTTGAGAACTACCATCTTTGTTATGTTTATGCTAATTAACATACATGAAATATTTACATTTCAGCTCACTAAATTTGTTATGGACTTTTGCAATACCATCCTACAAAATATGCCAAGAACTGAGGCGAGTATTTGAATGCATTGAAATTATTTTACACATTTTCTTTCAAATTCAGATACTGCCATTTCCTTTTTTTAATTACTAAATTCAAAGCTTTGTTTCTGTTACAAATTACTACTGCTGTTAACTTACCAAATATTCTATCATTACACCTATTCTAGGGTGATGATAGTATGGGTATGTATAAAAGAGTGAGTACATTTTTATTATTTTGCTTACAGATTAAAATTGTGAAATTTGTCTGCCTCATTGTACATTAGTGAAGTCCTGTTTTTCTCTGATACAGTTTTTATTTCATTACTCCAAAACGCAAACACCACATCTGAAAAATGCAGTAAGTATTTTCAGTTATTGTTTTAGTAATAATGCTCACGTATCTGTGCTGTCATATTGGCATAATAGGAATTAAATTATTTCACCTTCTATAATTGCCGATAGTAAAGAAATCTCTTCTTTACTATCTTATGAATTCATAAATATAATAAATTTGTTTGTGCAAGTTTAAATATATTTTTTCCCTATAATCTAAAATTAAAATACTTTAATGACTAAGAGTGAATATTAAACTTTCAAATACCTTTTAACTATTCATTGAAATGACCTAGAAAGCCAACCATTCAGTTCATGGCTGATTCAGGATGAGCAACAAATATTGGTATTGCCAGTGACCCATCCCATGCAAGACCAGGCAAAAATCATGCTATCTTTAATGCAATTAATCCTTAAATAATCTGTCAATGGGATAAATCTGTTCAACCATTTAATATCTGATTTTTAAAAAAGTACCAAGATTGGATTGTTTGAAAATTTGAGCAATCTCTAAATGTTATCTGGTGTTTATCATGTTTTTTGTTGTTGTTGTAGTTGTCTGCTGTGCACCCATTACTCCATCTTGCTCCAAAGCTTTCTGAAAGAAGAATGGATAGATCTCTTGATTCAGTATGTATATTTTGCTTCTATTATCATTTTAAACCTTTCACATTAAACACCGTGATCAGAGTACTCAAAACTTTTACCATGTCATTCTGAAGAAGACACCTCCTATGTAATCTATATAAAAGTTTTCTATAAATGTGTTTTCTAATATTACTATAAGATAACATTGTAATGATCATGAACAAGAACTGAGTCTGATTTGATATTGCAGGTAAGAGCATAATATTCAGTACTACTACTGACATTCAGAAAGGCTAGAAATGGTTGAATGAAAAAGCCATCTTTACAATTTTGATTTCAAATGTTCAACTTTCTATCTGTTATTAGCTAGCCAATCCTCCAACCATGCTAATATAATGTCCACAACACCGTGGGCTCTTATCTTAATATTCACCTTATGTGCAGTACTTTATTGAATACCCTGTTGGAAATCCAAACATATTGCATCTATTGGTCTCCCTTTATCAATGCTACTTGCTACCTCCTCAAAGAACTGTAATAAATTTTTAATTCATGATTTCCCCTTCTGAAGCTGTGATGTTTCTGCTTAATTTTATGTACTTCTAACTGTTCAGCTATTACATTCTTTATAATAGACTCCAGCATTTTCTCGATGCCAAATGTTAATTTAACAGGCTTATAGTTCCCTTCTCTTCTTGTCTTCCTCCCTTTGTTGAATAAGGGTATTATATTGACAATTTTCCAATACACTGGGACTTTTTCCAAATCTAAGGATTCTTGAGAGATTACTACTAATATATCTACTATATCAATCTTTACTTCTTTTAAAATTCTAGGATGCAACCCATCAAGTCCAATTAGCTTATCAGTCTTTAATCCATTAGTTTCCCTTGTGCCTTTCCTCTAGTGATAGTTATTGTGTTTATTTCTTCCCCACATTGGGCCTTTGATTATTTAGTAATTTTGGAATGTTATTAGAATGTTTTCTAGTGAAGACTGATGCAAATTATTTATTCACCTCTGCCATTTCCTGGTTTGCCATTGTTATTTCCTCAGCCTCATTTTTTAGGTGCCTGTGTTCACTTTCATTTCTCTTTTCTTTTTTATATCTTACTATTTGTTAGCTCTTACTCTTACTATCTGTTTTTTATATTACTTGCTACTTTGTCCTCATGGTTTATTTAATCATTTTCTTCTTCATTTGGTCATCTTTTGTTGACTTTTAAAACTATCTCAGTTCTCTGGTTTACCCTAATCTTTGCCACATTGCATTTTTTTCTTCCATTTGATTCTACCCTTAACTTCCTTGGTTATTCATGGTTAACCCCTTCATAGAGTCCTTCTTCCTCACTGGGATAGATCTTTGCTGTGAGTCATGACCTATTTTCTTAAACATCTGCTATGGTTCCTCAGCTGCCTTTTCTGCTAAACTTGTTTTCAGTCCACCAGCCAACTCATAGAGTCATATAGCATCAAAACAGACCCCTTGGTCCAATTCATTCATGCCGACCAGATATCCTAAACTGATCTAGTCTCATTTTGCCAGCATTTGACCTATCTCCCTATCAGCCCATCCTATTCATGTACCCATCCAGATGCCTTTTAAATGTTATAATTGTACCCGCCTCCACCACTTCCCCTGGCAGCTCGTTCCATATATGCACCACCTTCTGCATGAAAAAGTTCTCCCCTAGTTGCCTTTTTAAATCTTTCCCCTCTCACCTTAAACCTATGCCCTCTAGTTTTGGACTCCCCTATCCTGGAAAAAAGACCTTGCCGATTCACCCCATCCTTGCCCCTCATGATTTTATAAACCTCTATAAGGTCAAGCCTCAGCCTCTGATGCTCCAGGGAGAAAAGCTCCAGCCTATACAGCCTCTCACTGTAACTCAAATTCTCAAACCCTGGCAACATCCTTGGAAATCTTTTCTGAACCCTTTCAAGTTTTACAACATCCTTCCTATAGCAGGGAGACCACAATTGAATGCAGTATTCTAAAAGTAGCCTCATCAATGTCCTGTAGATCTGCAACATGATGCGCTGACCAATGAAGGCAAGCATGCCAAATGCCTCCTTCACCACCCTGTCTACCTGTGACTCCACTTTCAAGGAACTATGCACCTGCACCCCCAAGGTCTTTTTGTTCGGCAACACCCCCCAAGGCACTGTATAAATCTGCCCTGGTTTGCTTTACCCATCTGCCCTTATTTTCTTGTAAATGCCCTTATTTAAGTGTAGAATGGTTGTTTCTGACCCACGCTTCTCCTCCTTAATCTGAATGCTAACTTTTATCATGTTAGGTCTCTGTTCCCTGGGGAATCTCTTCTGACATAATTTATTAAAACTACCTCATTGAACATTACTAGATACAAAATAGCCTGATCCATTATTGGGAATATTTACAAAACATCAACATACGAACCTCTATGAATTATTCCTCATCGTAATCGTTGCCAATTTGATTTTCATAGACCACATTAAGATTAAAGTCACCCACAATTATTGTCTGCCTTTTTTAAGATGCCTTCACTTTCTCATAATTTATTCTTTGTATCTCATAATTTATTGTTGGTTCTATAGATCAGCTACTGTTAGGGGACCTATAGACTACTCCCACCAATGTCTTCTCATCTTGTTAGTTCTTACTTCTACCTATATGGAGTCAATAAAGTAATTTTCCATTGCTAACTTAAATCTATGTTAACCGTCCTCTAAATAGTTCCCAACTGGTACTTCATTATCTTGTGCCAACTCATTCCCCCAGAACAGCACTGTCTCCTTCCTCAGACAACCAGGAAAAGTACTGAATAAAAACCAAAAGAACTGCGGATGCTGTAAATCAGGAACAAAAACAAAGTTGCTGGAAAATCTCAGCAGATCTGGCAGCATCTGTGAAGGAGAAAACAGAGTTAATGTTTCAGGTCCGGTGACCCTTCCTCAGAACTGAATTCAGCAATATGTGTCCCATATGTGTCCCACTCCCCTCCCATCCCTTGTCCGCCTTCCGCAGGGACCATTCCCTCTGGGACACCCTGGTCCACACTTCCTTCACCCCCAACACCTCCCCACAGCCCTACGGCACCTTCCCCTGTAACCGGCGAAGGTGCAACACCTGCGCATTTACCTCCTCCCTCCCCAGAATCCAAGGGCCCAAACATACCTTCCAGGTGAAGCAACACTTCACCTGCACTTCCAAGAATCTAGTCTATTGCATTCGCTGCTCACAATGTGGTCTCCTCTACATTGGGGAAATGAAGCGTAGACTTGGCAACCACTTCGCAAAACATCTACGTTCTGCTCGCAAAAAAGACCCTGAAATACCAGTTGCCTGCCACTTCAATGCACCACCCTGCTCCCTGGCCAACATCTCTGTCTCCGGCTTGCCACAGTGTTCCAGTGAAGCCCAACGCAAGCTGGAGGAACAACACCTCATTTTCCACTTGGGGACCCTACAGCCCTCCGGACTCAATATTGAGTTCAATAATTTTAGGGCCTAAACTCTCCCATGTCCCAGCCCCTTACCCCACACACCAGGCCTTGTTACCACATAGCCTGCCATTACACATCCCCTGTTGTTAGTCACTAACAGTCCCCATTAACAACTATTCACCCTCCCAGCCTGATCGTTAGCAACTCCTTTGTCTGTCCAACTGTCTTTCTCTCTCTTTGGGCTCTATCCTATCGTTTACTCCCTACCCTACCCAGCTCCCTATTTTCTGCATATAAACTGATGTTTTCCCAGCCACCATCAGTTCTGAGGAAGGGTCACCGGACCCGAAACGTTAACTCTGTTTTCTCCTCCACAGATGCTGCCAGACCTGCTGAGCTTTTCCAGCAACTTTGTTTTTGTTCAGGAAAAGTACTGATCCTGAGATTTCTCCTGAGCAAACTCTAGAAATTCTGGTCTTTACATTACTAATATCCCAATCTATATTAGGATAATTAAACTTCCAAATTATAACTACTCTGTAGATTTTGTACCTCTGTTATTTCTTTGTAAATTTTTGTTTCTCTAGTTGGACCCCAAAATAATGCATCCACTAATTGAATGCTGGCTTTTTTTGTGGCTTCTATCAAATAGATTATTTCCTTGAACTCTCCAAGACCCCCTTTCTCTCCCACACAGTTTTATATTCTCCTTAATCAGTACCACTGCCCACATTCTTTCTTTCCTTCCCTATTATTCTTAAACATTTTTTATCCAGAAATATTTGATATCAGTCCTTCTGCTTTTTAAGTCATGCCTCCACTACAGTCCACCATGTAAATCTGCATCTGTAGTTTACCAATCTTATCATACTCTGCAGAGATTTTCTTATGAAGAGAGATTGAGTAGATTGGGCCTGTACTCATTGGAGTTTAGAAGAATGAGACGCAACCTTATTAAAACATAGAAGATTCTTAGAGGGCTTGACAGCATAGATGAGGAGAGGTTGTTTCCCTTTCTTTATTAATTCATGGGATGAGGGCATCACCGGCCAGGCAGTATTTATTGCCCATCGTTTATTGCCCAGAGGGCAGTTGAGTCAACCACATTGTTGTGGGTCTGGAGTCACATGTAGGCCAAGGATGGCAATTTCCTTTCCTAAAGGACATTAGTGAACCAGATGGGTTTTTCCTGACAATTGACAATGGATTCACAGTCATCATTAGATTCTTAATTCCAGATATTTATTGAATTCAAATTCCACTATCTGCCACGGCGGGATTTGAACCGGGGTCCCCAGAACACTATCTGGGTCAATGGATTAACAGTCCAGCAATAATGCCACTAGGCCATCACCTCCCCTTCAGGAGAATCTAGCACCGGATGGCATAATCTCAGAGTAAGGGGTCACTTATTTAAGACGGGGATAATGATGAACAAACACAGAATGCTAGCGAAACTCAACAGGTCTAGCAGTATCTTTAGAGAGAGAAGCAGAGTTAATGTTTTGAGTCATAGAGTCATAGATCATGGAAACAGACTTTTTGGCCCAATTCATCCATGCTGACCAGGTTTCCCAAACTCAACTAATCCCATTTGCCTGCATTTGGCCCAT